ATATTTTGATTTTGATGAGATTGACTGGGCGAAAGAATTAGGAGACCATTTCTGCTCAAAGGTTAGATAAACTTTGTTCAGACTTTAACGTCTTATCTTTAGATAAGCTTTAACCAGTGCTGGAAATTGGCTTCTTGGACAGGTGTTCATGGTCTTTTAGTACTAACCCAGGTAGATTTGTATAGAATAAGTTATGCCTACCATATTTAATTGAATGAACTTAGAATGAACTTAGAATATTACATGGTTCCATTTTTCCCCCCCTTTTGGAAATTCCATTTTTTATCTGTTTGCTAACTGATCTTTATACCACCGCTGCTCACAAGAGAAGTTAACAGACCCTTGAAGCACTTTACTTAACCTTAGTCAAATCCTACCTTTTCCCTTCCCACTGGGTACTCTTCCCTATTCCCATGATGCATGTCCTATATGCCCCTTACTAGCCTGCTAGCAGCTGCTTGAAGGTATCACCATTCATGTAGCTATTTAGAGCTAAGCCTGAAAGACATATGCACACCCACACTCAAGTATATTGGTGTGTAGCCCTTGGATTTTTTTTTTTTAACTTTAAAAGATTAATTTGTTCCCAAATCCAATATACACAATAAAGATTCTGAAAAGGGCATAGTGCTCAGCTCAATGCTCTGTGCCAGAGTTTCACTCCATTTTTTTCCCCTGGACTATAGTGATTGAGAATGTAGGCTGTGGTATCCTCTCAGGATCACCACATTGCACATGTTGAGTGGTGTCCCAGGAGTTGTACATTACAATTTTCAGACAAACAACATGAATCATAGCTCTACCAGTGACATACTTTGTGACTTTAGGCAAATTATTTAATTTCCAAGTACTTCAGTTCATTATCTGTAAAATGGTACCTACTCCATTAAGTTTTTATAATTATAAAGAGATAGTACATGCAAGGAGAGTATAGAATAGTGCCTAGGATTCTAAACACTCAGTAACAAAGTTATCACTCTAAAATAGTAGGTATAGTTTGTGATTTTTTTAAAAATAATACATTATGATCAAGTGAAGTTTGTCTCAGGAATGCAAAGACAGTTCACCTACAGAATATTTATCAATGTATTTTGACATTTTAAATGAGAAAAACCGTGATTGCCTCAATTGATGCAGAAAAGGAATTAGATAAGATTCAATCCTTTTTATGCATTACCATGATAAAAGTTACTTACAAAAACCTATAGAAAAATTTTGGATGAATTCCTTTTAAGCTTATGAACAAGGCAGAAGGATCTGTGTAACATATTACTGATTATATGAAATAAAAAAACATTCTCAGAGAAGAGCCTCTAACTTTTAGAAGACTCCAAGTAATTCTGAGCAAAGCTGCTGAGCTGTCTCACTGTACTTACCCTAAAATGCTTAATATAGGAGTTAGATTAATTATTTAAACTCATGAGGAATACTTTAAAAATTTCAATACAAGTTTTTGAATTTGGACTATAAAAAGAAAAACTAAACTTCTTTCAAGTAGTTCCCATCTAAGTAGCTACTCAAAGTTAGATGGAAATGACCATTCTTTACTACTAATAATCATTTCTAATAATAATTAAGAGGTTTGCTAGGTATTAATCAGTGTCCTAAACACTCCTTATACATTAGCTCATTAAATCCTCACAACACTATAATGTACCACTTACCATTCCTTTTACAGATGGGAGATAGAGAATTATGGGGGTTAAATAATATGCTTAAGGTCTTAAGCCAGATCTCAAAAATAATTCTAAAACCTGTCTTCTTAGCCAGTATATACTGCCTGGCAGATACATCTTCACAGCGGATTTTTAAAATTTCATTTGTATATATGCAAAAGCAATATGTGAGTACACATACAACAAAAATTTTAGAGAGTTCATCATCCTTAGCTACCCCCCCATGCCATCCCAGTCCCCTATGGATTAATTTGAGAATATCTTTTCAGATGTATTTTTCTATACATTTATTTATGTATGTTTGTACAAAGAACAGTAAGTACTATTGTTTGTGGGACCTTTTTAAAAATATAAATATACGTATATAGAAGGAGAACCTACTTAGCTATCTTCTTAAAGTCACAGGTTACTGCCTCAAATTAACTTACTTGTATTGGTTGATTGATATACATTGGTGTATCAATCAGGACTCTTTCAAGTAAAGCTCAGTTCAAACTGGTTTAAGCAAAAAAGGGAACTTACTGGGTCACATAACTGAAAAGTCCCGATCTATAACTGACATCAAGCCCTGCTGGATTCAGGCAGTCAAGAAATATTCCAAGCCCGGAACTCTGACTTCTGATCTCTTTTCCTGTGTGTTGATTTCATTTTCAAACTTTCCCCTGTGTGTCTGCAAAAATGGAACCAGCAGTCCGGGCCTATGATGGAGTAGCATATCAGTCATTCATGAAGGAACTTTCTTCAATAGAACCAAAAACAGTATTTGGAGGGTCTCTGATTCAGTTAGGAATATGTTTGGTTGTAATAGAAAATCTTGCTTGCAGTAGTTTAAAGAAATAGTAGTTGAGTTTTCCTCCACATCAAGAGTTCCAGAGGTGGGCAGTCTGGAGCTAGTAAAGCAGCTCAGTTATGTCATCAAGGATCTAGTGTTTTCTCCTCTTCCCTCTTTAGAGTGTTGACTTTAAACTCTCTTGCTTATCACCTCATGGTCACAAAATGCTGTAGCTTGTCTAACATTCCTGTTTACTTTCAAAGCAAAAAGAATGGAGGAAAGAGGGAGCACTTGAAGTACCTTCCTTTTTATCAGGAAAGCAAAAGTTTTCCTGCTTCTAGCAAACTTGTGCTTATGTGTCATTGTCCAGAACTGTGTAATATGTGGCCTCCCAGACCCAACACAGGCTAAAAAAGTAATAATATTTTTATCCCATAAAATAAAGGTAGATAAGGAAGAAGAGGATTGGGGTACGTGTTGGGTTAACCATTCCATTGACTATCCCTTACCTGTTTTAGACCGTGTGCCCATCTGGAGCCAGTCATGATGCTCAGGGAACTGTATCACCTGATTGGCCAGGACTAGGTTAGGTGCTTTTCTTAGAGTTGGGAGATGAAAATCAAGCCCAACCAAACCACTTGATCTGAGAGTGAGAAGGAAGTGGTTTCCTAAAGGTCAGAGAATGCTGGGCAGACAAAAACACTGTGTGATATTTTTTATTGTCTCATTTCTACAACTCAGAATCTTAGATGGAAGGAATCCTAGCTGCCACAGCCCAAGTGTCTACTAAGGTGACCTACTGATAGCATTGAAAAGCCCATTTATCAGCCTTTAGTCTTTTTGTTCATCTCTTAAAAGATTCTTCTCTTATAAGGTTCATCTCATTTTTCCTCAGATTATCCCCAACTAATTGTGTCAGAAATAGATATATTTTCACTGAAGTGAAAATAGTCCTGTCTCCTGACAGGGACCGTTTCTTATATTTAATAGAAGCAGAGTAGAGAGTTCATTCAGTTCCAACTTCTTTTTTTTCAGGTGGGTGTTTCTTTTATATAACCTCAGAATGCTTGCGTTAGTGCACTGTGCATCATGCACACTCAGTTAACGTTGCTGACTGACGATCCCAGCTTCTTTGCTGTCCTGTGAAAACTGATAGGACTCGCACAGCCTGGCTGTGGCCAATTGTGGTGACCAGCGCTCTGCAGTTGACTTATGATGACTGTGGCATATAATATCTCACCCAAGTTCAAAAGCTTATCCTTGCTTTGTTACACTGACAATTGATCATATTCCTAAACAGAGCACTCTGTAACCCGCCTGTCCTTGCGATTCAGTGCTGGCACCCACTCGCTCCTACATTGCTGACTTAGAAACTTGCAGAACACACAGAAAATGGACTGCATGTTTTAAAGGGGGAAGTAATGTGTACGTTGAGGGAATTGGCAACAACTTTTTTCCAAGCGAGATACTAAGGGCATATTTATAAGCTTTCCATTTTTTCTTTTATTCAAATTGATTCTTTTGCACTTGATGAGAAATACAAGCTTCTTTTCTAGTTCTGAAACCCTGTTTTAACCATAATGGCTGGTGAATCAGAGGAGAAGAAAATGGTATTAGAATTGCAGCATCTCTGGTATTCCATGTTTTCCTGTGGAGCCAATGCTAGGAACTAAATTACTAATGGTTTTCTTTCTGGAGAGATGCTGGCATGGCTGAACAGACTCTTGTCCTCTGTGCCTCTTTAACACGTGTATAAACACAGAAAAGGAGAAAGCATATCATATGACCATTCTAGGCTGAAATGAAACAGCCTTATTTTTAGTGTAATTTTTGGGGTGTATTTACATAAAGAGAGAGAAATTTAGGAGGGGATATTTAACATTCCAGGTAGCCTTAACATCCACTTACTTGATTCTCACAAGCTCCCCACCCTATATCCAGTCATCCTAAAGTCTTACCAATTTTCCTTCTAATTTGTTCTCTACCCTCCATTCTAGTGGCCTCTGGAACTAGTTCATATGGTTTCCTTCCACCAGAGAGGTGTTACTCATCTTTGTTGCCCCAACCCCTGGTGCCTGGCCTGGCAGTCGGTGGGTGTTAGATGATTAGCAGGAGTGTTGGCAGTGGGCAGATCTGTACTGTGCAGTCGAGTAGCTGAGAAAGCCAAGGTTCAAATGACTTAACCAAGTCTAATGATGGCAAAGTTAGATTTGAACCCACATCTCCTAGTACTCATTCAAGCATACCCTTCCCTAAGCAATAACATACCTCCATCACAAAAACAGGATGAGGAGTAGGTGCACTTTGAGAGTGGAAGAAAATTGCCTGTTGTGAGACATTTTGGCTGGTAAGAATTGGCTGGAATTTGGCTCCCAACCTGCATAAGCCAGTGAAAAAGAGGGAGGCTATTCACAGTCAGACCAAGAACCAGAATCTTTCAAGAATATCAAATTACTTTTGCACAATAAAAAAAAATTCTCAGGGAAAATATTTAAATTACTTTGCAAGTTAAAACCTCTTCCCCTCCCTTAACTAATAGAAATAATTTCAGAGCTGCCATAGACCTACATACTTTTAACAAGAAGTACTTGCAAACATGTAAATGCAACAATGAGTAGTGAGTGGTCTACAAATCTTTGCCAACTATAAATGGGCTCTGTGCATACACCTTTTACCTATAATAATCCTATTATCTCATTATAGAACTAAAATAAACTTGAGAGATCATTTAATCCAACCTCCTCATTTTATATTTAAGGATACTGAGAGTCAACCTCCTCATTTTATGTTTAAGGATACTGAGATTCAGAAGTGTTGATTCGTCTAGTTAATTAATGAACTATTCCTCACCTTACCTCTATCACTCCTTGATCCCGAGGAAAATTTCTATAAGGTAAAGAATTGCCTCTTGGTGCTTCTGAGATGTCTTCTGGTTCTTGCTGTATCTTCCTACATCGCTTTGTTGAAAGGATGCAGACACATCAAATACTTGATGTTAGTAGTCGCAATAGCAGGATTCTGAGGCTGTGATGGAGATACAAGAAGACCTTTTAGTGTTACTTGTGTGAGAGACAGAGCAGTGATGCCATTCGCCTGCTCTGTCCCAACTCTCCAAACGTAAAATAGCAGCTCTATAAACTCTGTGGTCCCTCATGTCATCGTAGCCATCTTCCTGCCTCAGGGCAAAGGGTTAGATATGGGCAAGTGGATATGCCTGCCACTTACCAGAAACATTACTGAGTGAGAAATTAGTGCTAAAGGCAGAATAGGTAGAACCAGCAAAAGTAGTGGCATGCTTACTTAGAAGATTGTAAAAAGTCCTAAGTGTCCTATGTACCTCCTTTAGGACCAGTGTTTTAGCAACTTTATTGTAATGCCACCATCAGATGTAGTTTACATGGCACAGTTTACATGCATAACTTTGCATGTGGCCCAGGTTTAAATGTTTGTCTCTCCCACCCCTAGACATGTTTGGTCTTCCTTTCTTGCCAAAGCATTTATGGTATATGGCTAACAGGAGCTCCATATTTACAGGACTAGCTTTCACTTTTTATAGATTATTTTGTGCTTTGACCTGCAGTGGGTAATCATGCAATATAAAATATGCTCTTGGAAGTCAGTGACAGCTGTTGCTTTTGAAGATAGGTTGATGAATTGAATATTCATTCCTTTTGAGTTCAGATTGTGTGCACACATCTTTTGAGCTGGGTACTCACCTTGTCATAAATTGGCTGGATTCCATATCTACTTACACAGAGATTCACTTAACCTTCTTTGAATTCTTTTCTTCACAGCCATCTCTTCCTGTACTTTATACCCTGTCTAGCCAGGCTACACATGAAGCTGTTCATCTCCTTTGCAGGATGTTGGTCTTTGATCCAGTAAGTAGTGTTTGCTTTTTATTTGTTTTTTTAATGAATTAAAAATACATGTGTTCTAAGAAAAACATCCTGGCTTTGAATAGGTGGGCAATGTAGTTAGTGGCTTTTCAAAGATAAACTCCAGTCCCCAGTTTCATGTGTACCATGCTCATCACACAGAAGTTTGATTATTAACAAAGCAGTCTAGATGAACAGAGAGAAGGAACTGTACCATCCTTATTTATCTTGGTATTTATAAAAGGAGTTTGACACCACGTTAAACCAGGAAAAAAATGTTTTAACATTGTTTGAGAAAATTGCCCATTATCCTGCATAAGGAGTACAATAAGGACTCCTTTATTTGGGTTGTTGAAATGGTAGCTTTTCCAAATGCCATTTCTAGGCTTGACTCTTCTGGGACAAAGTTCATCTCTTCTTTTATTAATTCACCCAAAGAAAATGTGTTATTCATGTCTGTGCCAATAACTACCATCAAAGGAGACTCAAAATGTAAATGTTTAGAAAAGAAAATTTTACCTGCCAAGAGTACAAGTGAGTCACCGAATATAAAACACAACAGGTATTTAAAGAGGGGAAACCCCAAAAAATTGCCAGTTACTAGATTTACATCAATCTGTTCATGAAGAAAAAATAGCAACTTTCTCACATGATTATCAAGTCCACGAGGGTCAGAACTATACTCAGCCAGCCACGTAACATAGATTAGGGATAAAACGTTTAGTTAGGGAGTCCAGGTTTGTCAGACATAGTCAGGTTTTATTATTTGAGGGATCCAAACACATCAGAGTGACCAAGGTATTTTTGTTACATCTCAGGGTACAAAGTGGATTTTTGTTTGTTTGGTGTTTATTTTATTTTCCTTTAGTTTGTTTCCTTTGACATGTGAGGTGATTAAATGATAAGGAAAGCAAGATAAAGTGGCAGTTCTTATTTCCACAACCCCTCCATGTGGCCAAGTTCCTGCCCTTAAGGACAGTTTCAACTACATGACTTGCTAAATGAGCTAGGGATTTAGTGTCATTAGTTTGTTATTTTATGTGACAAGTCTGTATAGCTGAACTATGTATACAACAGGACATGTGGATTAATACATAAAGACCTTTTATATGGTAAACAAAACTAGAGCCACATGAACTTCAGCTTCAGAGTTAATTTCTGTCTGCCAGAGAGAACTTTTTAAAGGCCCTGAGGTTAAAATTTACTTCTTTTTGTCAGAAATCTGTTAGTTTCTTTAATCTACATTAGGAACCAAGAGTCATGTAATTCATGTGTACTGGGTTTCATCTGCGGTCTTAAAGCTGCCAGATACGCTCTTCTTCTGAGATCCCATGTTCATTAGTGATCCTAATCTGCCAAGAGCTCCTAGTCTTTACAGTCCTAAGGCTGGAATTTTCTAAGCCATTGAGCAGATCCCAAAAACATTTTCCTGGAAGGCCTTCTAAGTCTCATTTCTACACATGAAATGTAGTCCTTATTCCTTAATAGTGGGATTGTCACACCTAATTAAATGAAACCTTTGGTGTGGTCATAGTTGCAAATCAGATTTATCTCTAAGAAGGAGGTAAGATTTATCTGATAAGAGGAAGACAGATTCTTACTGAGCCTGTAAAAGTTATTACATAGTCCTTTTTTTAAAAAAAGAAAAGGAATTTAGTTAAGGCACAATACATAATCTGCTTTTTTTTATCATTGTCTTATAAAGCAAGGCCAACCAACATACATTGTTATGTTTTTACAGAATTGGCCTGGTGCTTTATTAGTTTATGATAGATATTAAAAATTCTTTTCTTTCCAGTTCTGACAGTTCAGTTAGAAATAGAAACCATTTTTAAAGGGTGTCTCATTCTGTTTTTAACCTGTTAAATTGAGGGTTAGAGATACATTAAGAAGAAAGAAATTAGGTGGGGTTCTTTAATATTCATTAAAAATGTAACATTAGGCACATTTCAGTATTGAGTCCATTTAGTCTGAGGTAATTTATTCTTACTTTGTTGATCTTGAGCTAAGCAATCTCTTGCCATGTGTCTTCTGGACTGAAAATTCCTGGAAATCCTGACTCAGTTACCTGGTTCAGTCTAAGAGGTGGTATCTGTGGTAACAGTATCAGCTATACCCATAAATTTATATCCTGAAGACAACAGTCAAGGGTACCTGATAATAGTCCTTTACTGATGTCTTTGTGATATTTCTTACGGAAGGCTCAATTCCAGATCTTTAGCTTGTAGCAGAAGCCTGTAGGCAAATAGAAGGAAAAAGCAGAAACCACCCAGAAGATGGAAAGATTAAAGGGTTCTGGTTCTCTTATAATAATATCAATAATATTGGAAGGATGGGGTATAAATAAACAATCAGTTTATGAAGATGTAATTAATTAACTATTACCTCCAAATTGTGAAGACATTAAATAAATCTCCAGAGACTTAGTTTATCTAAAGGCAATATTTACAAGCAATATTTTTAAGATATACAATAATTGTTAGAAATTTAGACAAATTACTCACTTTTTTCCCTTGACAAACACATTTGTTTTCCTGAGTACACATCTTCCTGCTGTCACACATTCTTTTATATTCTTTAAAAAAATACATACGTATTTTAACCCAAAGCTTTTTGTACATCTTTTTTAACTATTTACTGATAACTACTCTGTATTGTATTAATAAAGAGCCTACATATATTAAAATTATGTTGTCCAGGTATCCAAAGACTATTTATTAACTCAAATTAATATTAGTAAAGTCTTAATGTTACCTAAGAGTCAGATTAAAATATCAGTTGACACATTAAATCTTCATGATTAGTAGCATTCTAAAAACTAATTTCCTTTTAGAAACACGTTATCTGTTATCATTGATCTAATTTAGTTGAACCCATAATTTTGAAATTGCATAATCTTAGACAGAGTGACATTAGTATATCTGGTCAGTAAAACCAGTAGGAAAAAATCATATTCAAAATGATGGCTCTTGTGAGAACACAAACCCCAAATTTGTGTAAACTAGAATATTGTGCAAACATTATTTGTACATGGCAGTAAAATTGGGAAGACAACAAAGATGTTTTTAAATTTTTGTAACTATTAATTCAGACTGATGTGTCCAAAGAGACATCTTGCATAGAAATATCACATGACCTTTTTATCTTATACAATTATATACCAGATTTTGAAACTCTTGTTGTTTAAAGAGAAATAGTTGCATCTTACTTCGTAACCTAGTAGCCAAGAGTATTATTTTAACTCACAATTAAAGCTTTTTTTCAGTCTTTGAGTTACTATAGCAAAAAAAAATTTGTAAAGAGCGGACAAACCTAATGAAGAATAACATTTTAAAAATATGTTTCTTTTTTTTGTTTTTAATGTATTAGTATTGTTTCTAAAAGGCAGATGGACTAGGAGTTTGCTCCATATGATTTTAAGAGATCTCCCTTCATAGTTACACCAAGTGTATCAATTTGTTTACTTAGAAATATTTAATATTTGTAAAATCGGAAGTTTTATAAACTCATTAAAAACTAGAAGGGCCAACTTGGATAAAGCAACAAAATCTAGGATAAGTGGCCTTATCTACTACAAATGTTGATCAGTTAAAGAAACAAGATATGTGTCATATGTAATTAAGATATATAGGACATAATTAAGCACTATTAGCTCCTTCAAAAGAACATCATTATTGAAAAGCTGAGTGATCTTGTGATCTCTCTCAATTGAGCAGGACAGTTTTTTCTTTACAATGTTCATACCCCTTACAAAATGACAGTCTCCTTTAGCTGTATTTCAAAAGTCCCTAAAGAGATACTGATTTGTTGAGAGAAATGAAAAGTTGATCATTGCATACTAGGGATTTGATTTACTTTTTTGTTCAAAGGCTTCTCTTAGCAGACCCCTTTAGAGTTTTGTGCACTCAGAACATACAAACACAGCATGCTATCAATAGCTGGGAAGACACCAAATCTTTCAACCCTACATTCTCAAATTGCAAAAGTATCAGAATCCACAGACAAACAAAAAAAGACGAATAGGGAAACCAGATTCCAGCTGCTGGTGGCAGCTGACAAGGACCCCATTTCTGACATCTGCCACCTGACAGAAATGACTGTCAGATGATACAGCTAAAACCCAGACTCAATCACTGCTGCCACCAATGTGGACATGATTGGCCATGCTCAATCAAAAACAGAGTTGGCCAAGAACCAGATTTAGTGTGTGGATGCCAGAGCTCCCTCTCGCACACAAGACTGGCCGGGGCACAAGAGGGGCCCAGCCCAGGCAGGTGCGCTGTCAGCGGCTTGCTCCTTTGGTTCTAACAGTAGACATTTGTCCCAGCGGAACTTACAGAAATAGTAGACTCATTTAAGAAACAAAGAAAAAGTCCTTGGTGAGAGTACCAGTGAGTCAGACTTCAGAAGGGCTGGAGCACCAACTATATAGCACAGCAGGTAGACAAAGGCCCAGAGCCAAGGCTGTCAAGTGTACGTTTGTGTGTTCCTGGTGGGTAAGCAGCAGCTTGTTTGGTGATTATCATATCCTGACAGGTCATGGCATGCCTTTTAACATCAGCATAGCAAAAAATCAGAGATAAAAGTGTTTTTAGGGGATCCCAGTTTATGGGAAATATTTAACATTTTATTATTTAGAGGTCCAGAATAAGTCAGGATGATCCAGTCACTTCCTTGTTTATTTCAGTGTAAAATGGTTTTGATTTTTTAAATTGTGTTATGTGATATACTTGAGCATATTGGAAGCAGGACAAAGTACCAGTTTTTGTTCTACTTTTTACTGTTGGGTCTGTCCTTAAATCCTTTAAAATCCACTTTGTCTCTCAGTACTATATATATGTCCACTGAGCTAAAAGGAGGGACAAATTTTTTTTAATGAAGAAATAAGTTTATTAAGTATTTTGATCTGAAAGACAAGAAAACCACAAGCTGCCAATGTTCAGACTAAGCTGGGTGTCAGAACATGGCCTACTCCAGAGGCTCCCACAGATGGGCTTTTGCCCCAAGTTGATTCTAAGAGAATGAAAGTTTTAGGCAGCTTTGTAAAATTGCCACCATCATCAGATCTCTTCCAAATGTGGAGACATATTTAGAAAATATAACTGTTATTTAAAATGTAAACTTATCCCTCCAAAGCATTAATATTTAAATGTCATGATATTTGTCATTTTTGACCCTGCATAGCAGAAAGTCACTTCTAAGGGCTTTACGGCGGCATTAACAGTGGTTTGTTGTCCTGAGTCATGTATTCCCTCTACTGCTGTATTACCCACCTCTAAATTCAGTTCTCTCTCTTTACACAGGATGTACCATAAATTAAGTATCAGCTGTGTAAAGCAGTTACTCTGTCTTGTGAAAGATCCTGTACAGACAGTCATGTTTATTTGTAGTATTGATGTTCTGGTCTTTAAATTTGCTTTCAGTCCAAAAGAATATCTGCTAAGGATGCCTTAGCCCATCCCTACCTAGATGAAGGGCGACTACGATACCACACATGTATGTGTAAATGTTGCTTTTCCACCTCTACTGGAAGAGTTTATACCAGTGACTTTGAGCCCGTCACCAATCCTAAATTTGATGACACTTTTGAGAAGAACCTCAGTTCTGTTCGACAGGTTAAAGGTGAGTTGTTGTTTTTTTTGGCTTTCAGCTGGGCAGGATGACAAGTGACATTTCCCATCACATGGCCACGGAAAGATCTGCATGGTGACAAAGCTCCTCTGTATGTTTATTTTACAAATTTGCATACAGCTGTTTATCCAGAGCATATATGCCAAGAACGCTGTGTGTTATAAAAATGCTGATTTATTATTACATCTAGGGAAAGGTCAGGCAGAGGAATGAATATTTTATTCTTGTTTTCAAAGCTGACTTATTTAGTGAGTGTGACTCAATACCGTTGACCTTTGAACAACACAGGTTGAACTCTGCACAGTTTAAATCCCTTACACACAGATTTTTTTCCAGTAAATATATTGGAAAATCTTTTGGAGATTTGCAACAATTTGAAAAATGTTTTTTCTAGCTTTATTGTAAGAATACAGTATGTAATACATATAACATACAAATATATATTAACAGACTGTTTATATTATCAGTAAGGCTTCTGGTCAGCAGTAGGCTATTAGTAGTTACACTTATGGAGAAGCAAGAATTATATGCTGATTTAAAACTCTGTGGGGGCAGCGCTCCTAATCCCCACATTGTTCAAGGGTCAACTGTATATTGAATATGTGTTCACTCAATGTGATTTCACCAAGTGAAACATATTGGGTTTCTTTTTTATATAGTATGCAAAAGTTTTTAAAAAGATAAACATCCACTGAGGGTATCATTCCTTGGATGATGACAAGAGAAGGGCATTCCTGATAATCTACTGGTAAAATTTCCTGACATGGTCTCCTACTGGGGTGGGGGTGGGAGTTAATGACATCCAAAATTCTGAATAAGTTTAGTGTCTGCTCTTGGACATTTAAGAAGAGAGAATAGTCCCCAAAGTAAACAGCCCCAAACTATGTACCCAAACACCAACTAAGGTTTTTTAAGTGATTTTCAGAAGGACAATAGTTGCCAGCAGTTTGGAAGAGTTCGCTCATAAGGCCAACCCTGTAGATCAGTCTCAAATTTATAGACCATTTTACTCCTCCCACTGATGGGGTTTCCAGCATGTGTAATGCCACTTTGGGGGTTTTCACCTGTGTTTAGCAGCAGCTGTCATTTATACCAGTGAGTCAGACTTCAGAAGGGCTGGAGCACCAACTATATAGCACAGCAGGTAGACAAAGGCCCAGAGCCAAGGCTGTCAAGTGTACGTTTGTGTGTTCCTGGTGGGTAAGCAGCAGCTTGTTTGGTGATTATCATATCCTAACAGGTCATGGCATGCCTTTTGACATCAGCATAGCAAAAAATCAGAGATAAAAGTGTTTTTAGGGGATCCCAGTTTATGGGAAATATTTAACATTTTATTATTTAGAGGTCCAGAATAAGTCAGGATGATCCAGTCACTTCCTTGTTTATTTCAGTGTAAAATGGTTTTGATTTTTTAAATTGTGTTATGTGATATACTTGAGCATATTGGAAGCAGGACAAAGTACCAGTTTTTGTTCTACTTTTTACTGTTGGGTCTGTCCTTAAATCCTTTAAAATCCACTTTGTCTCTCAGTACTATATATATGTCCACTGAGCTAAAAGGAGGGACAAATTTTTTTTAATGAAGAAATAAGTTTATTAAGTATTTTGATCTGAAAGACAAGAAAACCACAAGCTGCCAATGTTCAGACTAAGCTGGGTGTCAGAACATGGCCTACTCCAGAGGCTCCCACAGATGGGCTTTTTCCCCAAGTTGATTCTAAGAGAATGAAAGTTTTAGGCAGCTTTGTAAAATTGCCACCATCATCAGATCTCTTCCAAATGTGGAGACATATTTAGAAAATATAACTGTTATTTAAAATGTAAACTTATCCCTCCAAAGCATTAATATTTAAATGTCATGATATTTGTCATTTTTGACCCTGCATAGCAGAAAGTCACTTCTAAGGGCTTTACGGCGGCATTAACAGTGGTTTGTTGTCCTGAGTCATGTATTCCCTCTACTGCTGTATTA